GAGCATGCTACAACAATCTCAACTTGAGATGCAATATTAAGATGCAGCTGTCAAGGCTGCCAACCATCTTGGAATTTTAATGACACGCCATCGTAATAATGCAACTTCTGATCAGACTTCAAGCCATGGGAATTTGCTTTCTGTCCAAGTGCTTGGGTAAGTGATGCAAAAGGTCGAATTTGTATTCCTTTCAATTATCATGTGGCCATTCAATTAGTATCTGAATGCCTTGTAGGCAGATCAACGCTTGCCGAATCATCGACTTCTATGAAAGAATATACTGGTCATTTCTTAAGCGACAAACTTTGGACAAGAAAGCATTTGATCAGCAGTTTCCCATGGCATTGCCATTATTGACATTCACCTGAACAATCTCAATAAAAGTTTGACGTGATAGAAATAATTTTCGACAGTATAAATCTTGCTGTAGCAGTAGAACATTCACTTGTATCGACCTCATTGATTGTGACAAATCGAGTAATGACTAAAAACTGGGGACCAGTAAAAGAGCTTCAGGTTCAGCGCTATGTGATAGTTTCGAGTATTATTGCCCATAATTTGAAAAAGCATGGAAACATACAGAAAAGCATTTTATTGAAAGAATTATTGAAAACCGTATTCAGGACTAGTACTTTTGAATAGTTCAATCAAAAGAAAGAAATAAACTTAATTTTGACTGAGCTCTATTATTACAAATCTCTGAACTTCTTTTTCGTTACAATCGTACGGTGTTAAGAATCCACAATAATTAGTTGAATATTCAATAGCCCATTAGCCTGCAGTGCGTGGTAGACCACAAGCGCAACAGACATACTAAACCAATCAAGCCCGAGTTCAATTATAGTCGACATTTGAACGCTGCTTGCAGATATCATGCTGGTGCCGATGAGACCCACTGTAAAATTTCTTCAGATTATCTCAACATGATCAAGGTGAGCGTAGTCTGAACAAAATATATCGAGATTGAACACTGTATACTTTGAACTCTGATCCACTTTATGAGACTCTATGCAAGTACTTCCATAAAGACCATGTGAGACTGCTTTCGACACTGGACATAATGTCAAGCAGGGGTTTAGTCGTACGGGAGCATCCACACGTTTGGAGAACCAAAATACCTTACCTACATTTCACTTTACCATGATTGCATTTGCAAGCCCGCTTTCATCATCTTGTACAATGAGCATTCATTCCATCGTATGATTTCGATGGTTTATCACAAAATATGTTTGCTGAATTTCCGGTCTGAATACATCTTATACCTCATGTGATCATGATGAAGGGCAAGATTGCTCGGGGAGTAGTCGATCAGGACAGGTGTGAGGATCTTCTGTGAAAAGGATCTCCCGTAACCTGTGGCAAGGGAAAAAGGTTGACAAGTACAGAAGAGACGGCGAAGTTCCAAAATTGTGTCGGTTCCTCGACCCTTCTGGCAGGTAAAATTTGTGACGAAGCAATTCACACCTCATGGTGGCAACGACGGAGGACATGCTGGACTCCAACAGCCACGAACAGAATATTGCAGGCAGGGTGCTACACATACCGTGTTTGAAACTAATTTGGCTCCAAGGCTCTGGTCTGATGAGCCAGCCGTGCAGAACTTACAGCATGTTTAGTTCAATTAATGAATGAATGTTCAATATATGAATGAGCAGCAGCTTACTGGTTGTTCGATTTTCAAGTAAGTCATGTGACTTCTTGCAGGATTCTTCTTGAGAGAGAGCTTGTTACGATCGAAGTTCAGAACCTGATGGGTCTGGGCAAAGTAACAGTTCTTCTCATTAACTGGATTGGATTGGACTCCAAAGATTTCAAGGATTAGAATAGCTAAAGCCATCCATCCCAGAAACTTCAGTACAGAAAACTCATTTGTTTCCGATTTCAGATGCAATCTCACAAGGCCATGAGACTTTGACTGAGAGCTCGAGTAGGGAATACTCAAGAGCAAGAAGATGTCTTCAGCTCAGGCGCTGATCCATATCTTTAAATTGGTTATTACAGGTCTAAGTTGATTACGTGTTGATAGTATGGATCGAGTTTGAGACCTGTGGAAAGAAAATCAAAATATAAAAACTCGATCGGGGTCTTATTCCAAGAATCTCAACTCCATATGTAGCAAGGTTGTAACTAGTGATCCAACTTGGAATTTCCAATTCCATATTCTGGGTAAGAAGTCATCAATTTCAGCTGCTTCGACGCAATCGCTTGTGCTTCATTTCAGAACGTGAGCATCCTTACTGTGTTTCTCTGAGAAGGTTCTTCCAATATTCATTTAAAAAGGCTTGAGATTATGTCTCCATCGGCTACCAAATGCTACTCTATACGTTAATGAGGGAACTGAGACTTTAGTATGATATACAAGAAACAATTGACGAGATACTTGTTAGTGCACAGATTCTTTGACCTCATGGTGGTCACAGGTAACTGGAGCATCAAGGAATGTACTATCAAGCGCGTCAAATTTTCTTCCACAGGCGGCAAGAAGCTTCTGTTCTGAGTATCACTGTCCAATGTTAGCAATCATCGGCTCCAGCGACACTCGATTACTCTAGCGATACCCGATTGGATACTCGTCGCAACAAGTATCCAGTCTAAACGTGAAGATGGCATCATGTATCGACTTCGAGAAGTTCTTGTGGACTACACTCCTAGAATATAAGATTGGTAACGGAAGCATACGTACAAATGACGTGATGAAGCATCCTTCCTCAAATGCTTGCAGATCTGAATTCAGAGACTTCTTGATGTGTTGTGCAAAGCAGTTTTAAAGGACCAGAGCTTCAAGCGACAATTGAAAAGACAAGCTCCGCATGAGATCTGATCTGATCTCCAATGTTACAGTGTCTGTGGGTGTCGACATCCAGAGCCTCCAACGAGGCATCCTTCCTCAAATGCTTGCAAATCTGAATTCAGAGACTTCTTAATGTGTTGTGCAAAGCAGTTTTAAAGGACCAGAGCCCCAAATGTTACAGTGTCTGTGGGTGTCAACATCGAGAGCCTCCAGACTTCTGCGAAGATACTTCTCAAATGTGAAGAAGTGCACGGGACCTGCTGTGGATAGATCATGATCCCAGAAAGCGAGCTGAAGGACAACTGCTACCATCCTGTACATTTTACTGGCGATGAGATGGAGATGCTCACAGTGCTTAAAGCTGTGGCCCATAGTCTGCACTTGTATCAACTTCGCAGCGGGAATAAGATGAACCCACGCATGTGCTGCCAAACTCTTATAAGAAACTACTGCAAACCGTAAGCATGACAGAGCCAATTGCAAGCTTTTGTTTCGCGTCCACGAAAGGAAAGGAAACGATCCTTGGGAAAAGCTCAACATTCCTCTCGACCGGACATTAATCTGGTGATCGCCCCGGCCAGTGCTGTGAGCACTCCCACCTGCTTGAGCACCATTCATCAATATAATTATTGATGTATAGGGCTCTAAAGTCGACCTTAAAAAATAAATGCTTCGACGCCGATTGATCGTCATTCCACTCAGGGAGTCACGCCTTCCTGTACCCGAAGTGCCGAAAAGCACTGGAGACAAATTGGCTTTCAAAGCATGAGGCATGGCAGAGTCAGGGGCACCTGTGCAGATGGGCGATAAATTCTCACCAGGATGGCACGAGCATCCCACGTCCCGGAAAGGACAAACACTTTTCTCTGGTCAGTGGCGCAAGGCCTCCTCGATCTCAGTGAAACTTCCATCGACCGATGCCCGGTTCTGTAAAGAACTCTCCTCCGAGTCTATCTACGGCTCTCGAGTCTGAGTTCGGTTGACCTGACCCTCGAAAGATAAAACTGCATCGAAACGAATGGATGTCAGGGCAGGCTGGGGCTGGGATTCATGATTGGCCAGGTCCCCCCCCCCCCCCCTCGCAGAATCTTACGTTCTCCGCTTCTGCTGTTTGATGGAGCAGATCGACGTGTCAGAGCTCCCTACATGCGTCACTTCTCGAATGGAAGCCGGATTGTCTTAAAACGATGTGCAGACAGAGAGAACAACATCGTCTGCATGGTTCCGTGTCCGGTGGTCACAGGACGACAACGACGACGACCCGAGCCTGTTCTCCTCGAGGACCTTCGTCTACACCCTCACCCACAAGAGGAGAGCACCACTATTAAACTCAGCCATGTGTTCCGGAACCATGTGCCGCTCGATCCGGGTCATCGACGATCCGTGGGCCTCAAAATTCGTCACGCCTCGAATCAGCTCGCAGCCAGAAATTGAGGGCGCTCCTGGTCAATGGACTCTCAGCAGTCGGCGAGACCACAACTCCTTCGGCAGGATCTTCAAGTGTCCATTCGCCGCACAACACTCGGCTAAAATTGGGAGGAGCCGATCTATCTTGAGCCCGAATTGACAGAGTGCGCGAAACTCGTCCCTCGGGCCATAGTCAGAGGCTGCGGGCCATGGGCTGCGGGCCACGGGACGAGGGACGGACCAGAGCCTCGGGACGCTGTACCACTTGGGAACGCCTCCTGGAGTTGTCCTCACGCTGGACCGCAAGCCTTGGGACCGACGGAGCCTCTGTCCGGTCCTGCTCAGGTAGAGACAGAGCGGACTGACCTGTTTGGGGACATCCGGCTCGAGTTCCGAAGCAAGAGACTCAGATCGGCACGTCAATGATTACAGCCTCCCTGCTTCGACTCCCAGCCAAGGGACCGAGCCGCGTCCGAGCCTCATCCACTGCTCGCGTCCCGTACGAGGGTCGTACTCTCCTACCCTACGAGTGGGGTGAGATCGTGATGGGGGAGGAACAAGGAACGGAAGCGACAAAGACGTGCCTCGAACGTCGACCGGGAGATAAGACCGAACGGCGGAGAGAGCGAGAGAATATCCCGCGAATCGACCGGAGAGGGGGCCAGCGTGGGCCCCACCGGCGGGTGCCAGTGCTCAGAACCTGCAGTACAAGGGAGAGAGAGGCAGTACGGCCCGCCCGGAGATGGTGGCCCTCGGCGGACTGCTATAAAGCCCCCTCCTAAACCCTGCCCACTCAGGAAGTCAAAGTTTCACTTTCCTCGAGGGTATCCGCTCTCTTCATGGCGGTGGCAGCGGCGTCTTTGGCCTCGCTCGTGTGAGAATGTGTTTGTGAGAGTTTGATTTTATGTACATATGAATGGTGACAGCAGATTCGTCGACGAGAAATCGTAATTAGAAGAGAGCTCGCCATCGAGGTCTCATCTCACACGATTCCTGCGCGAGGGGTTTTGATCTCGCGGGCAGAAATGGGCGGAGGCGGAGAGGGATCGGGGATCATGTCTCCCCAACGCGAGACGCAAGGGGGAGACGACGAGAGGGCGCCGACGGCCACGGAGATGGTGCTATTGGAAGACGGGAAGACGGCGGAAGAGAATCTCGAGCGAGCGGAGCATGAATTTCTGCTGAACAGAGGCTGGCGACAGGCGAATTTCGCACCATCGCTGGCGGAGGTGCACTCGTCCGTCAAATGGCCCGAGGCGGGAGCTCCGTGGTACAAGAAAGTGCTGGCTCTGCTGGGGCTCGGATTCATGATCAGCGTCGCGTACATGGACCCGGGAAATTGGGCCACGGATTTGGAAGGCGGGGCGTCGTATGGTTACAGGCTTCTAACCGTCATCCTGCTCTCGAACATCTGTGCCATCTTCCTCCAAGCTCTGTCGCTCAAATTGGGAATCGTAGCCGAGCGAGACCTGGCTCAAGCATGCCGAGATGCGTACCCTAAATGGGTGGTTTACATCCTGTGGGTCATCATCGAAATCGCCATAGCTGCCACCGACCTCGCCGAGGTCATCGGCTCTGCCACCGCGCTGTACCTGCTCTTCAAAATCCCCATCTGGGCAGGAGTGCTCATCACGGCCGTGGACACCTTGTTCATCCTCGTGTTCGGATTCAAGAGCTTCCGGTTCCTCGAATTCGTCGTCGGCGGGCTGGCATTTCTCATTGCCGGCATTTTCGTGTACGAGCTGATCGTGGTGAAGCCCGAGTGGAGCGAGGTGGCCAAGGGATTGATTCCTGATTACAAAATTCTGCAGGATGCCCGAATGCTGTACACGGCAATCGGCATTCTCGGGGCCACTGTCATGCCGCACAGCCTGTTTCTGCACTCGAGCATCATCCAGACCAGGGCTTACCCTCGCACCAAGGACGGCAAGAAGATGGCCATCAAGTATGGCCGCTGGGACTCGAGCATTTCGCTCATGCTCGCATTCTTTGTGAACTCGTCGATTCTGATTCTCGCAGCTGCCGCATTTCACTACGGGCCCAATCCGAACCGTGATGTGGCCAACATCACCGATGCCTACGAGCTGCTGGCCCCAGCTCTGGGAGGGCAGGCTGCCAAGATTTTGTTCGGAGTGGGGCTGCTGGCCAGCGGGCAAAACTCGACCATCATCGGGACTCTGGCGGGGCAGATCGTCATGGAGGGATTTCTGAAGATCCGGTTGAAGCCGTGGATCAGAAGGTCCATCACTCGAGGCATCGCCATCGTTCCTGCTGCCGTGGTGGCCGCCGTGGGAGGCAACGCTGGGGCCGGAAGGCTTCTGGTCATGAGCCAGGTGCTGCTGTCGCTGACCTTGTCATTTGCTGTCATCCCCTTGGTTCACTTCACCAGCTCCACGGCCAAAATGGGCCCCAGCTTCGTCAATGGCTGGCCCGTCAAGATCTTTGCCGTCCTCGTCGCCATCATCATCGCCGGTCTGAATATTTTCCTGCTGTTCCAGAGTATAAAGAACAATGAATTCGGCAGCTCTACCGGAGTCTAATCCGACCGCCATGTGAGTGTTGTTTCGATTCAGCCATGCCACTTGTAGAGCTTTTGGCATCGAAGAAGATCAGCTCTAGAGAGAGTCCTCCTGGAGCTGCCTCCTGCCTCAGCTCAGCTCGTCCACCTCTGGCATGGATGCTTGTTCAGTACATACGACGGGTTTGCTTTTAGTGGAATTCGACCGACCTATCTGCAGCTCTCCGACTTCGAAGAGATCATGAATTGAAATGCTTCCGATGATATGAGCTGTAGAGATTCGATACGGCTGCAATTTCGGAGGCAAAAGGACCTGAATGGGTTCTTGAGGTGTCACATGCAGAAGGATTTTGTAGAGACGAGAGATTTGCTTCCCAAACCAGAAGAAGGTTTGGGAAGGAGGAGGTTTCTTTTTGAGTCGCTCGTCCTTCCCCAGAGCCGAAGGCTGGTGAGTGAGCGAGTCAGTCAGTGAGTCAGGATAAGTGCTGCGGTGCATGTGCTCAGACACTTCTCCACTGTATGAGGCGACCTCTCCTTACCTGTACATGTAGATTACGGTAGCTCGCCGAGTTCACCGAATGTTCGAGGTTTTTGGTAGCAGGTGGAGAAATCGTTGTGTAGGCAGTAGAGAACTGAAGTAAGTGAGAGTTTTCGAGAAGATGCGACTGGTATTTCGGAAGAGTCCTGAAGTTGCCAGTGCTGGGTTAGGCATCTTGTATGCAGTCGATAGGAGAAGAGTTTTTGAAGAAGAATTCTGCAGAAGTTTCTCGAACAGATATTGTACAGACCAGGTCACATTGTCGATGCTGAACCCGATGACAACTGTGAAATGTTTGTTGTTCCTTCACAGCCTCTGCATTTGTTGCAATACGTTACAAGCTGTTGATCGACGCTTTGACGATGTAATAAACAAGAGTCTGCACTTGTCTTGTCATTGGAAGTTTACTGATCCAGCTTTATCTGTTCCACTCTGCAAACGCAACCAAATCTCTTCTCGATTGGTTTCGGTCCGTTGTTAGCCACTGTACTGTGCATCGTTTTTCCAGCTGTAGATGATTCCAAATTGTGGCACTGATATCCACGCCATGACACAACTTGCTCATCATCTCACTTGATGTTCTATCTATCACGGCAATCAAGACCTCAGCTTACGTCGTCGACAAAAACTGAGACGCAAGCAATAGTGGCCTATCCGTACGTTCAAGTACAATAAAAGCTTGTGCAATTGGCAGAAACTGTTTCGTACAACTTCGAGCAGAGACCGACAAGACCCTAAAGCGAAAATGTAGAAGATCTGACTGCAATGTATGTGGGCAAGGGGAATGAGGACAAGAAAAAAGGTGATACCGCACTTTGATGAACACGGAAAGCGACTGGGCGGTTTAGCGAGCTCGACATCTTCCGTAGGGTCGATAGAGAATCTGAATGTTTCCTGATGCCTCAAGTATGTCTGATAGCTGTAGGTCAACTCAGTGACAACCCATGCGCCACAGTTCGATTGTCCAGAACAAACGACATAAAGTAGTGGGGCTCCAAAGCCCCACGAGATGTCCACGAGATAGATGGAAAGCTTGAAAAGGTGAAAGCGAACTTGAAGTCACAGTTTACCTGTCCCCGACAAATCCCTATCACTTGAAAAAATCACTTTGACTGTGAGTGTATGAACGAACGAGGGTAAAAATGTTTATCTCGTTCCTTTACCCTTCAAAGCGTACTTCAAATATATGTTCATCTGTCACCTTCATATTTCAGAGGGTTAATACTTTCATGTCTCATGTAATGAAACGAAGTAAATGTGCTTACTGGATCTGTCCACAATTGTAAAAAAATACTAAGTTTTTAAGCTTCACCAGGATCTGGTGACTCCTTGATGTGTGATGCCATTTGGTGAGCAGTTCTTTCCTCGTTCTCAATGGCGAGAGGAAATTTCTAGGTCCAAATTTAAAACTCACAAAGCTTGCCGCTGTATGGTCGTGCTTGACAGAAGTATGATCGCCTTACAAGGCCCCTGGAAGCTCTCACCCTTTGAATGACCAAGACCTGACAGACACACACACAAACAGGTCGGTCTTGGTCTTTCAAAGACCTGTCTAGTTGCCTTCCCAAAGTTCCAACCGTGCTCAACACCTGGTGTGATCTATTTTATAACTTACATCCAAAGTGTGTACTGGCTGTGGAGCCGTGGAATCCTTGTACTGAGAAAGACTAGTGAGTTTTAGTGCTCGATTTCTTCTATCGAATTTCCACTTTTAATTATGCAACCTTTCTGAATATGGACCACCGGCTCTTCGGGACTACAGGCCAACGCTTTTACACAAATTGAATAATATGTAATATTTACCCAAACACATTCACTCTTTGTGTGGTATATTTGTGGTAACCCACTTTTGGTATTTTTGCGGAAATTAAAATATTTTTTGAAAAACTGTACCATGGCAACAGTGTAAATAGTCATCGGTACATTAAAATAGAGTGAAACTGGATGATCTCGGAGAATCTCGTAAAATCTCGTAGAATCCAGGAGTTGGGCGCAATGTCAAGAACAGGCGCCGCCCTAAACGACGGGCTCTGAAGGAGTACCCCTTCGGCGCAAGGCGCATAATCCGCCTTCGGCAATACACCTTCGGCGCTAGAGGAATCCCTCAGAATCTATGAAATTCCCAAACACCTTGACTTGGTTAGGGTCTCGTTGGAAAGAGCTTGACGCGCTGATTCTAACGAGCCCAAGAACGCCCGGAACGGATCAAGACTCAGGGAGTTGTGACGGTCGAAAGATACGAAGACCTTCGCCTACGCATAGGCGAGGGAAGTTCGCCTACGCATAGGCGACATAGGGTTTGACGTCGGCGGGGAGTCCGCCGAGAATGCCGCCTACGCATAGGCGAGGAGGACTTGCACCTACGCATAGGCGGACGGAGATCGCCTACGCATAGGCGCTTCGGCGTCGGCGGGAAGTCCGCCTTCAGCCCTAGAAATCCGCCTTCGGCGCCAGCGCATCACGGTTAGGTGAGGACCCAACGGAGTAGCAAAATCAGTACGGACCGTACGGACGGAACGGACGAGTGCGCCTTCGGCCGGTCGGGATTTCGGAGACAAGAGCGCCGACGGAGAGGCAAGAGAGATGGACAGACTGGACGGAGTCCGTTGACCGCGGTCAACGCCTTCGGCGCTGCGCCTACGGCGAGGGACCTGCGCGGACGAGCGTCTTTTGTGCGGACGGATTCCGCCTACGCACAGGCGGATGACGTTCGACGCCGGCTGAAACTCCGCCGGGGATTCCGCCTACGCAGAAGGGAGTTCGGTTTTTGTCCTATGCGTAGACGAACGCCTTCGGCGGAGCGGGACTAGCCAAATCCAAGTACGGAGGAATGTAGCGCGTCGGCAAGAAATCCGCCTTTGGCGTTGCGCGATCATGGCCGCGGCGTAGTACGCTAGCGGAGTTCAAATTGCCAATTCGAGCGTGTGAGTGAAGGCGCGTCGGCGGAGCGTGAAGCCGAGCGTGAGAGAGAAGGCCGTTATACCTCGGAGCCGGCGCAGCCATCAAGTGACTCGGCTTTCATGACCGAGAGCCGACCATGACCCCCTGCGAGCGGACAGAGGACACCCCATTCTTGAATTTGCGATTTCAATTCCTTGTGCGAGCTGCGCGCGTCCACCTTCTAGCTGAGAGACGTTCTAGACACCACCGCGCGGAGAGTTACCCGGTGGCAGGGAGAGAATTGAGTGCGCGACATTTGGATTGAGAGAGATTAGAGTTTGTAGAGGAAACAGAACTGCGAGCAAGAGGCTCGGGCATAGCAGAGAGAGAGGTGCGCAAACCAATTTCAAGAACGCGATGTCGACATCGGTGAAGCTGCGGATGGTGCCACTCAAGCTCCCGCAGAATGGGTTGTGTGCTTTTGAGGACCGGCTGATTGCGAGGAAACTCGAATTCTTGCTGTGAGGATGGAATTATGTGTGCGCAGACATGGTGCGCGAATGGCTGGACGAGGAACGACAACCTACGCGCGGATTTCTTCCACACGTAGATCGATGGACTGTCCGCGATTGGGGACAGGCATTGGGAAGGTGTGCATGTGAGGACGGGTACCTCCTGTTCGACAGTGAGAGCATCAAGGTATCGAAGGCGGACAAAGCCTCCTTTGTGGAATTGTTCAAGCGGGAGCGGTCTTCCAAGAACGAGTACAGGACCCGGGACTACAAAGATCGTTTCCGCAGGACTGTAGCGATGGCGCTGCTGCAACTGTTGCAACCGCACCGCACTACGTACATCACGTTGTGGCAGGTGTCCTTCGTAGAGCTCACATTGGCTGGAGCTCCAGTTCACTGGTCACGTATCCTGCATAGGGTGATGCGACAGCATGCGTTTGAGGAGCGGGGAGGAACGCTCAATCACCTCTCCCCCTTCTTGATAAACTTTTATCGGTCGATGAATCGTTTAACCGCGGCCGAGCGTGCTCGATTTCCGCCATTGTCAGTCGACCATCCCGGGAGGTATGTGCGGGATAACGAAGTAGACACCGACGCGGAGGACTCACCGACTTCCACTCCACCGGGTCAACAGGATGCGGGGAGAGACACATCCGCAGCGCGAGTGCCGCGGAAGCGGAGATGGAGAGAGGAACTGGAGAAAGAGCAACATCAAGAATCAGCTGCTCTCACCCGGAAGCGGCCACTGCACGAGATCTGCAGCATACCGAAGCAGAAGGCGCGCATGCTTTTGTTACCTGCCAGCAGCGCGGAAACGGCGACGATCGCCACAGAGAAGGGAAGTCCATCCCCGGAGAAGGATGGGACTACGCGGACGGCCGAGGAATCAGTAGACCACCCTACGCCTTCGGCGGAGGGGAGACGACCTTCGGGTCAGGAGCTACAACGTGCGGCGTGGATGAGTGTGTCGCCTACGCATAGGCGACTCCTTGTGGATAGGCGACCCCTTGCTGACGTAGACTTGTGCCTACGCATAGGCAGAGAAAGTTCGCCTACGCATAGGCAGGACTTACCCCCGGTGCAACGCAGGAAGGGGAAGGAGCCGGCGGAAGACCCGCCTTCAGTTCAAGGGCCTTCGGGGCAAGGCCCTCCGGCGGTGAAATCGCCGGGATATGCGCCTTCGGCGCCAGGGCCCTCGGGCCACCGAGCTACAAACAGAGAGCCGACGGGAGCCGTGCCTTCGGCGGAAAATCCGCCGGAAGGTGCGCCTTCGGGCCAAGGGACAACGGGCGAGCCGCCTTCGGCGCTGCGCCCTCGGCGGAAGAAGCGCCGGGAATTGCGCCTACGCATAGGCCGGACGCATCCCTGGCGCAGGACCGATCGGCGGAGCAGGACCTAACGGAGGAGCGGGTTGACTGTCCGCAGGGTGAAATTAGTGCGCGCGATGCACAATTACACTCCGCGCAAGTACATTCCGCACGATCGCCTTCGGCGGTAGACGCCGGCGGCGAAGAGATTACAGTCGCGGCAGGACAGGGACAGGCGGACGATGCGAATTTGGCACGGCCGCATTCACCCACCGCCTTGTACATTTTAGCAGGGAGCAGCGAGGCTGCAGGAGCGCCAGCGGCGGCAGAGCACGCAGACATCTCGCAGCCCCGCACAGGCCAGTCGCCGACGCATTCAATGGCGACCGAAATCCTCAATTCGGAGGATGACGAAGAAGAAGGATCCACGGAATCAGTGTCGGGATCGAGATCCACCGAGGAGGAGGAAGAGGAAATGGTAGGCGCGCCGACGGCGGCGTTCTGTGAGCAAGTAGTACCTCTGCTGAGGTACCTGGACCGCAAGATGGAGAAGTACGCGGACCCTCGTCAGCCTGGGTCCTACGTCGAGTTAGTGCGTAGGCGAACTCGCACTAAAGTCTACACCAGCAAGTTGCTGGCCCGTGTGGACCAGGAACTTAAGGATCTGTGGGAGAAGCATGAGTGCCTGTGGGATCA